TACCTATCTAACCCAGAGTTAAACCTGAAGTTAAAAACCCTGATTAAATCCTGGGTTTAAATGTAAATGTGTAAACTTAATATGCTGAACACCTATGTGTTTACTCCTCCAGGCTCTCCCTTGAGACCCTGTTCAACATTCACTAATTATATAACATTGTAACTGTCTTCACTTTCTGTTGTTCATTTGTTTCCACGTTGTATTTTTGGTATACCTTTTTATGTGCAACATTATTAGAGGCGGAACTAATCTGCTGTGTTTTGTGTTACACCTGTTTAGTCGACGCACTGGATAGTTGCAACAGCAGAGCAACGCAGGACGTCAAAAGGAAAACTAAGGAAACCAAGGGGAAAATGCATATAAAGTTATCAGCCCCTCTAGGTGACTAGTGTTAACTTTGTTCATTATTCTCGCATCCAGGAGAGAAGCTTTGAAAATAACGAGACCAATGGGGGCTCTGAGAAGGTTCAAATGGGTACTTTAATTAATAAAAGGCGCGGTAATGTTACAAGCAGAAGATGGTTCAGAGCAGCGGCGCCGGATTCATTTCAGAAGTCGGGGGGCCAAAAAGTGCGTGTGTATGTGACATAGCCTACTTGCCAACCCTCACGATTTTCGCGGGAGACTCCCGTTTTCCTCCCGGGGTCATATTTATCCCGCATTTCTCCCGATTTCTGACTAAATCTGATTTGTTTCATTCTAACATAACGCACCAAATGTTACTGTTTCCACTCGGACTTCAATACAGCTACACCATTGTTTGGTTTCCATGGTAACGTGTCTCTTTAGTAGCGCGAGCAAATGAAAGTCTGAGAGGGTCTTCAGGAGGAAGATAGTCAGAGAAAACAGAACAAGAATGGACAACTCAACCCTCTGCTCACTCCTTTCCTGTACATTAAACTATACAGACCAGCCCACATATGACAGCGCAGTTGCTCATTCCATCTCTTCTTTTTTCCTGCTACGCTCTTGTTTGACAAGCTGAATGTTGACTGGTGTTTGACTGAAGTAAGCTCTGTGAAAAGTTCCAGTTATTAACTCGGTATTTACAAAGCTGTCATCTCCACATTTTGAGAAAGTTACAAGCCGTTTGACAGCAGCACATCTGCATATTTCACAGAAGGCTCGTTTAGTGGTTTTGCAAATAATTAACCACTCTCTGTTTTTGTACCATTCTGCATTGAAGTACCTTCTCTTTGCCCAAATAAGCTTTTATTTGCCCGTCACAATGTCCCGACAACAAACCTCCATGCAGTCGGTACCAGCCTGTTTCGGTTCAACGATGCCGGCGGCGGCGGTTTTGACAGCCTCTGCGGCCGCAGAGCTGCTGCTGGGGTTCATCTGGCTGCGCTGGTTCTATGGTTGAAGGACCAGGCTCCGGAGCTGGTTCTATGGTTGAAGGACCAGGCTCCGGAGGTGGTTCTATGGTTAAAGGACCGGGCTCCGGAGGTGGTTCTATGGTTAAAGGACCGGGCTCCGGAGCTGGTTCTATGGTTGAAGGGCCAGGCTCCGGAGCTGGTTCTATGGTTGAAGGGCCAGGCTCCGGAGCTGGTTCTATGGTTGAAGGACCAGGCTCCGGAGGTGGTTCTATGGTTAAAGGACCGGGCTCCGGAGCTGGTTCTATGGTTGAAGGGCCAGGCTCCGGAGGTGGTTCTATGGTTGAAGGACCAGGCTCCGGAGTGTGGATGTCAGGGATGTGACATTCAAGTTGTTGAATTTCAGCTTAGTTTGACTGTATTTTGTTTTCTTATGCGCCGGTTCTTCTGACATGTTTGCAAGTTTATCTATCTAGGTTAACGGCTGACACACACTGAACAACGTAACACATAACGTAAACAACGTAACAAATAAACACATCTAAGCTTTGTTATTGGTTGTAATGTACATGGATACATTTGAATGGTGTGATAATGTCCTATTTCATTGGATTAAAATGTACATATTCTTCCTGTTATGTCTGCCTGCTGTATTTTACCTAATGCAAAGTGACCTGCTCCATCGAAGTCAGTCGCATTGATCCGAAGACACATTTTGAGTTGTATACACTGTTGGAAAGAGGAGATTCCTAGCTTTCTAATGATATCAGGATTGTTTTTGTACTACATTAAGCAAAATATGTCACATTATATAATGACTGTCACCGAGTCATCATTTTGAGAAAAAGGCCTTAAAGTTTCCTCTTCTCTGGATCGATGATTATTAGCGGAGCAAATGATCAAAGTAGTACGGAGGGAAGATATTTTCGTTTGGATTACTGGTCTGGGGGGAGCTCGCGAGTGTGTGCGTGTATACCACGTGTGTGTGTGTGTTTGTGTATTTTTGCGTTTGTTTCCCGGGGAAAACTCTCAGGAGAAACACCGGCTGTTATTCCTGCTGTGACGTCAAATTACTCCATTCTCCGCTTGTAATTATGCCGAAGCTTCAAAGCTGTATTTATAATCTGAATTTGCCGAAACAAGTTTAATATTCTGAAAGCCAAGACTTTGTTTATTTGAAATCAGATGAAAACAAACTGTAACGGACCCTGCGGTGTTATCTATGATTACTATGCCTTACATTCATAATGTCAGCCAAGGGAGGGGAAGCGGCACTGTAGAAGAGCAGAGTGGCGAGTGAGAGGCGAGCTGTGTTCTTCCCTTTACAAGCTTCAAAAATGCCTGAGATTGAATATAACAATCAACAATAACAACAATATACACAGCTAGATCAGATGGCGTTCTTTTTAGATGCGACTTTAGAGTAGAGGGGAATTATTGAAACGGGATGTGTACAGGGTTCCGCGGCATCCGCTGCTGCGAAAATGTGGGGCAGGGCCGTAAAGGGGGGGGGCCAATGGCCCCCTGGCTCCCCCGCTTCCGGCGTCCTTGGTTCAGAGAGAGGGATGTAAAAAGCTCCCACTCTGTGGTCGGCCGAGCAGAAGAGAACCCACAAGCATTCGTCCTTCCCGCTTACTGGCTGTTCGCTCCTCCTCTCTGGGGGCTGTAGTGACGTGGGAGACTTCCCCCCTCGTTCGTGTCCGATATCGCGTTAAACAGAGGATTTCGACATTTTACATTCATTGCTTACTTCCACATGCCTTTTCTCCTCCTTATCTCTTTCATAACTTTATATGTAACACATGTTAACGGCGTCAATAGCCACATTAATGATACTAATGGACGGTAGTCCCGGATGTCGTCATGAAGGATTTTCAGAATAAAAGCTTGGTATTGAGAACTTCCGGTTTTTTCCAGAATAAAATAGCATTTAAACTGACGGTATGTTTAAGGTACATTATGCCATCAAAACATTGATTTTAATTTCTAACACTAGCAGCCTAGAGGTACGTTTTCGTGCTGGTTGTTTGTGTAATTGTGTGCGGTTGAGCTGCAGGTTTGTGTGTGTATGTATGTATCAGTGACGTGCAGTGAGGTTCATGGCTGGTGAGGCAAATATTATATTTTTACCTTAATCGAAATATTCGGTTATTTTCAAAAGCTTTTTTAGTCTGATGCTTCAATTCATTTTGAAGGGGGGTGTGTGTGAGTGAGTTACTCTCATTGGTTAACACTTGACCAGCACCCGCCGTGTGTTACAGTTTGATTGACAGCAAACACAGCCCCATGATGATAGCCTTCCCTGCTTTCTCAACAGCCATTGGATGAATCTTGATTTTAAAGAAAAGCGTTTTAGCCAATCAAAATGAAATATGCGGGACATCTTCTCAATTTGCGGGACGCACCAAAAGTCGTGAAAACGCTGTGCAGTCCCGCGCAAAGCGGGACATCTGGTCACCCTACTCCAAACTGCCAAATATATTAATTAACACACTCTCACTCTCATACTCTTTGACTCTATTTTGGCCTATTCATTTCTACTGGATCTTAGATCTGCGCATGCGCAATAGGGGCGGCAGTGGCGGCCACGGAGTATTTTTGTTGGGTAATCTATGGTAGGGCTAACCCATACAGTGGTGGTGGGGCTCAAATCAGTATTTGCAATGTAATTACATACACGCTCACGCTCCCCTTGACAGTGAAACGCCACGCGTGAGGTTTAGATTATTTCCCTGTCTCAATCCAAATTGAACTGTATAAAATAAAAAGGCACATTTGTCTTGTAGTAAATAAAAAGGGCGACCTGGAGCCAATTCTGCAACTTCCCCACAAGTGAAAGAGTTGCCATGCTGAAAACCCAACCCCCAGGGGGGTCTGTGGGATTCTCCCCCAGGAGATCTTTTGAAATACTAACATAAAATACACATTCTGGTACTCTCTTGAGAAGAGAAATAAATACATCTATTACTACACGACATATTTTAAAAAATGAATGCCATTTTAGTTTTGTGTTACTTTGTTCTGAAAGCTGAGCCTGCTGCTCCTCACAGAGAGAAGAGGGAAGAGGATGTGAGTTACTTTACATTGTGGATAAGGGTGGATAGCCCCCATTGTTCTGTGCGTCAAAATGAAAGACAGCCCACACACCTATCAATCATCAAACCGTGGGGTCTTATTTCCTTACATGTTGATTTCTATCAACACGTAATGTTGTATCGGTGTATCGGGACTTCCTGCAACAACACCACGCCGTTGTCGTGATTCTGATTGGCCAGAAGACATTATCAAAGATGTTCTATTGAGAAGACGATCACTACGTGACAAAAGTTTTCAAAACCGTTTCTAGTCTTCGGTATTCTTGTTTTGGAGTGAGAATAGTTTGGGCAGCGTGAGAGCGTGAGATTGAGAGTGAAAGCGTGTGTCACACGCCAGATGCGTGAGAGTTGGCAACCCTGCCTCAGCCTCGTGTCATTTACTGGAGGGAGCTATAACATACTTATGATTTAAAACCTTTTCTTTAATCCCTGATTCTGAGGAATCAAGAGTTAGTTCAGGCTCTAAAACTCTGTTTATTTAATATCATTTCAGTTTAAACATTGATTTTAATGTCTGGAAACGTTATAATCTGAAGTAGAAATCATAATGTGTTTGTTCAGAGCTGTTAAATGATTGGCCGCTCAAACATTCAGGTGGATACATGTTTGTATTTACTCTGGATCCCGTCACACACAAATCAGAAATGAACAACAATTTAAAATGACACAGAATCAAAGAAACAGAAAAGGTTAAACTAACCCGACATAAAGGTCTGAACTCATTGATCATGTGAAGAAAGCTCTTCCTCTCATTGCCTCTGAATCAAACTCCATGTTAATGAGAGTTATGGAGAAACATCGTTCTTACAAGCTTTGGTTGGTCCCACGTGTTAAGGAGAAGAAGTTAAGCTAAGTGCATGGAGTTCAGTTTAATAAAAGTTGATCATAGATACAAAAAGGAAACCTTCCAACTAAATAACAATCATTCAAACTAAACAGGTGCAGCTTTAGTTAATTCCTCTCTGAGAAATGAACTCCATCAGAGATATAATCCTCCTGTTTATCTAACTGCTATGATCCACTGTCACACACACCTTCCCTGGTAATATCTTCACTTCATCCTCAGTAGAAACGTATGGAAACATCCTCTCAGTGAAAGTGTGTGTGAAGGTGTGTATGGGTGTGTTAGTGTCAGGATCAGAGAACGACAGCTTTCCTCTGTTCCAGTCCAGACTCACTCTGACCCTCCGGAGTTTCTCCTTCAGGCCGAGAGGAGTTTCTGGATCTGATGGTGACCCTGCTGAGTATTTACCTTGATGATAATCTATTCTCCATAATCCAGACCCTATGATTCCCTTCCTCTGTGCAGACTCTACTGACACACCCAGTTTCCATTCTGTACTGCCTCCAACCTGGACCTCCCAGCTGTGAGTCCCTGAGTTAAAGCCCTCAGATCCCAGGACAGAGTAGACATAATCAAGCCTCTCTGGATTATCAGGACGTTCCTGTTCCTCTCCTCGTCCCACACTGGTCAGATCTTCAGACAGGATGAGGTCAGAACCAGCAGTGTTTGGGTCCAGGACGAAAGGAGAGTAGGACACCATGTCCTTCATCTTGCTCCAGATGTTGAAGCTGAGGTTGCCCAGGTGTTTGGCCTGGTCTATCAGAGCTCCTGAGGGCAGCTGTGGATCTGCTATCTCTCTGCCCACAGCCTTCATCTTCTCCTCTATCATCCTCCTCTTCTGCTCCTCTTCCTCCCTCAGTGCAGCCATCCTGGCCTCCTCTTCCTCTTCTAGAAACTGGTGAAGCTTCTTAAACTGCTTCTTAATCTGTGTCTCTGTGCGTCGGGCCTGGACTGTCAGGTGTCCTGCTGTTTGATACAACACCTGAAGCTCCCCCAGGTTTTCTGCCGCTCCATTGTTGGATCTGGAAGCCATGTTGTCTCTGAGTGAAGCTGAAACACAGCAGACAGGAGGGGGTCAGCAGGTTGAAGCAGCAGTGTTGTAGTTTCCACTTTTCTCTCCTGTAGCTGAACTCAGAGGAAGTTGTTATATTGGTCTGAAGGTGAATCTGATCGTCTGGTATCCAATATCACAAATGTTACATTTGTCTCAGTGGACTTCACAGTTTGTACAGAATATCAGTATGACAATACGACACCTTCTGTCCTTAGACCCTCTGTCCTTAGACCCTCTGTCCTTAGACCCTCTGTCCTTAGACCCTTACATCGTACAAGGAAACACTTCCGGAGAAAACCCACAGTTTAAAGGGAAAATGGGAGAAACCTCAGGGAGAGCAACAGAGGAGGGATCCCTCTCCCAGGACGGACAGACGTGCAATAGATGCCGTGTGTAAATTGAAAAGATAATACATTTGCAACATAGGTAGTCCAAATGTTTGGAAATGCATGTGTGTATAATAGGAAGATGAATCCACGAGGATATCCATCCAGGACCTATGATCTAGGACCACAGCCACGACTCAAGATCCAGGGCTCGCGATGCAGGACACAGGAGCGCAGGATCATCCATGACTCCGGATCCCGGCGTATATAGACACCAAAAAGAAAGAGATTTGGGGAAGCTGGGTTAATGGGAACATGAGAGTACACAGGTATAGACAGAGAGAAGGAAGAAGTAAGATGTCCCCCAACAAACTAAGCCTATATCAGCAAAACTAGGGGCTGAATCTAATCAGCCCTAACTATAAGCTTTATCAAAAAGGAAGGTCTTAAGCGCACTCTTAAAAACGGATAGGGTGTCTGCCGCCCCAACACAAACTGGAAGCTGATTCCACAAATGTGGAGCTTGATAAGAAAAGGCTCTGGCTCCCATTGTACTTTTAGAGACTCTAGGGACAACCAACAACCCTGCATTCTTGGAACGCAATGCCCTAGTAGGACAGTAGGGTATAATGAGTTCTTTAAGGTAAGATGGCGCCTGCCCATTAAGGGCTTTGTAGGCGAGAAGAAGCATTTTAAATTCTATCCTGTGTTCTATAGGGAGCCAGTGTAAGGCAGCAAGAACAGGAGTAATGTGGTCCCTTTTCCTAACTCTGGTTAGTACACGAGCTGCAGCATTTTGAATTAGCTGAAGCGACTTGACTGACTTCTTGGTACACCCTGATAATAAAGAGTTACAATAATCCAGCCTTGAAGTAACAAATGCATGGACTAGTTTCTCTGCATCGTTTTGAGGCAAGATATGCCTGATTTTTGCAATGTTACGTAGATGGAAGTAGGCGGTCCTTGAAATTGATTTTATGTGGGCGTTAAAGGATAAATCCTGATCAAATATAACACCAAGATTCCTTACAGTCTCACTGGAGGCCAAATTAATGCCATCCATAGTTAGTATATCCTTAGATAATTTGTTTCGTAGATTCTTTGGGCCAAGTACAATAACTTCAGATTTGGTCGTGTTTAACATCAAAAAGTTTAAGGTCATCCACGTTTTTAAGTCCTTGAGGCAGTCTTGAATTTTATTTAGATGATTAATTTCATCAGGCTTGATTGATAAATATAGTTGAGTATCATCCGCATAACAATGAAAGTTTACAGAATGATTCCTTATAATATTGCCTAACGGAAGCATATATAATGTGAACAAAATAGGTCCGAGCACTGAGCCCTGTGGCACTCCATGGCTAACTTTGGTTTGCGTGGAAGATTCATCATTGACACGTACAAACTGAGAGCGTTTAGATAGATAGGACCTAAACCAGCCTAAAGCAGTTCCCTGTATGCCAACTAAGTGCTCTAGACTTTGCAATAAGATATCATGGTCGATAGTATCAAATGCAGCACTGAGATCGAGCAAAACAAGAATAGAGACACGTCCCTTGTCAGAGGCTATTAGAATGTCATTTGTGACTTTAACCAGAGCTGTCTCTGTGCTATGATGTGTTCTAAAGCCAGACTGAAAGTCTTCAAATAAATCATTGTTTTTTAAGTAATCAGCTGTTTTGCGACCGCTTTCTCAAGAATTTTTGAGAGGAACGGAAGATTGGAAATAGGTCTATAATTGGCTAAAACCTCTGGATCGAGGTTGTGCTTTTTAAGAAGAGGTTTTATCACTGCTACTTTGAATGATTGTGGAACATAGCCTGATAATAAAGACATATTCATAATATTTAATAAAGAAGTGCTAATTAATGGAAAAACTTCCTTCAACAGCTTAGTTGGAATTGGGTCTAACATACACGTTGATGGTTTAGAAGAGAGAATAATTTAATTTAATTGTTCAAGGTTAATGGCTGAAAAGCATTCTAGTCTACTATCTAGTGTAATATTAGAACTTACGTTTCCGGGAGCTGTTGATAACACTATACTGGTCAAAGGTAAGAGGTCAATAATTTAGTTTCAAAGAGTAACAATTTTATCGTTAAAAAAGCACATAAAGTCATTACTACTGAGTGCTATGGGAATAGAAGGCTCAATCGAGCTGTGGCTCTCTGTCAGCCTGGCTACAGTGCTGAAAAGAAATCTTGCATTATTCTTATTCTCATCTATTAATGAAGAAACATTTACATTGTCACAGCAGAAAAGAGCCAAAGGCAGCTTAATGTTAAATATAAGGAAAGTACTCATTGATGAGTAGGAGCTGCTGGAACAGGCTGACACTCCTTTGAATGGTTGGAATGGTAACAAACTGTTTCTTGGTATGTCTCTTTGTTCAACTTTAACACACAGTGTGTCTCACTCCACAAACACCAGCCACTCCTCATCAGCTCATCGGTGACTGGTCAAACCTCATTTAATCTCTTCAGTACGGGACATTTCAACCCTAAAGTAGCCCAGTAAATATCGTTCAGTTCAGATCGAATGGGGCTTTTATCTGTTAAGTGTTGCAGGACTTTAAGATCCACAAAAGAATAAACTTTGATTTATGGATTTGCCTACATTTAAAAAGGATTGTTGTGAGTCACTTTAATGTTCAGGTCAGGAATGTGTTTGATCTGCAGTGATGGAGACATTGCAGTCAGGTGGACCCCCACATGTTCACCTCTTTTCTGGCGCAATGCTTTATGATGCGCCTTGAAGTTAACACATTATGAATAAAACCAACATTGCCTTGGACGATGATAACAATAATTGATTACATAAACAGTATGCTCTCTGCGTAGCCTCAGGATTACAGACACCTAACTGTTTCCTCAATAATCACTGGCATTACAAATAAACACAGTCAGGGAGCCTTCACAGTTAATCCATGCAGAAAAGATGTTTCATACAATCAGGTTACCGGCATTGGAGTCTATCCCCTAAAACCTTTAAAGCAAGTTTCAACAGGTATTGAGTGATGTTGAAGTCAGACTCACCTTCAGGGGGTGGAGGGTCCTCAGGTGAAAGCAGCAGTGTTGTAGTTTCCTCTTTTCTCTCCTGTAGCTGAACTCAGAGGAAGTTGTTAGTTTGGTCTGAAGGTGAATCTGATCGTCTGGTTTTCAGTCCGTTCGTCTCTCCGTAGTGATGAAGAGTAACAAACTGTTTCCTGGTTTGACTCTTTAATCAACTTTAACACACAGGTGTGTCTCATTCCACAAACACCTGCCACTCCTCATCAGCTCTCAGTAAACTGGTTTAACTTCATTTCATCTCTTCAGTACAGAACATTTGAACCCTCAAGGAGCTCATTCACAGAGTTGGCAATGTTATTTTCCCATTAACCATTTTCATGCCATAGGAAATACAAAAAGGTGCAGTTTTACCACAAAACATCTTCAAAATTCCACCCTACATGTATTTAAATGCATCAAGAAGTATAAACAAGAAATAAGTGACTGGTAAAACCCATAAATAAAATAACAACCATGTTAAAATCATGCAGGATTACATTTTAACTGGGTAAATAAAAAAAGAATATTAACCATAAAATCAATTTTCATAACCAAGATTCTGACAGTCCTCAAAACAATATGATGAGGGTCCAGAAACCAAGATGGTGACGGTCCAAAAAAAAATATGAAGAAGTCCACAAACAAAGATAGCAAACACAAGATAGTGAAAAGACAGTGTGATGACTCCTGCCTTGCCTGTTGTGTGTGTGGCCCTTTAAGTGTTCTCCCTTTTGTCTATCAGTGTTGATTGGGGACACCTGGCTGCCGGTGCCAGAGGGTTAAAAGACCTGAGTCAGTCCCTCGAGCGTTCTCCCCGCAGAGGACTGGACCTCGGAGAGCAGCCACGTCATCTATTCTTTTTTTGTCTTGCCTTTTTGTTTGTCTTTGGCCACATTGTTTTGTTAAATACATACCTTTTCCTATATATTCTTGTCCTTCCCACGCTTTTTGTTATGGCCAAGAGCCAGGCCATGACAGCCAATAGAACCAAGATGGTGACGGCCAAAAGCCATGATTGTTAGGGTCCAGAAACCAAGATGGTGACGGTCCAAAAACCAAAATTGTTAGGGTCCAGAAACCAAGATTGCAACCGTCCAAAAACCAAGATGATGATGGTCCAGAAACGTTGGGTTACGTATTGTAACCCTTGTTATATTAGCACAGGCGGAGCCCTCTACTGGACTCTATGGGTACAGTGGGTGGAGCCCCGATGTATACGCGCATTGTCGTCCAACAACAACATTCCACCCTACTGCTCCTGACCGGCTTTTCTGGTTGTGACCGAGGAGAAATCTGGGCTGTGGCTGACGGAGCATACCCTGCTGCGCTTACCTCGCGGAAAGTGTGCTCAAAAAACAGTGCCGGGGGACCCCCCCGCCCATAGACGGATGGGGAGAGCCCCCTCGGCCCTGAATGGGCTTACTACACGCCTGCCTCCCTGAATCCCTAAGGATAACAGGGAGAGCGCCAGAGCCCATGCCTCACACTCAGACACTGACCCCGTGCAGAGTGTGTGTGGACTAAAGTGTGGAGGGCTACTCCCCTCCTGCCTCTCGGCAGGAGGAGAGCAACCCTCCAGCCCTGTAAGGGCCCAGCGCGCCCCTCGCCCATCCCGGGACCCTCAGAGGGCCCGAGAACAGCGAAGGCGCATTACGTCCGGGGAGGGGGTCAGATGCCAATTGACCCACAACTCCCCCCCCCCCCTCCCCTACCAGTCCTGTGTTGCTCCCGCAAGCACAGACGAGGAGAAAGAGCCCGCCATGTCCAAGAGAAAAAACCTTATGAAGGGGCCTGGCGTCGACCAAGACGCCGCTGTGCATATATCCTCCACACCCACACCGTTGAATAAGGCTGTTGACACAGCTACAGCCCTGTGTGGAGTGCGCACAAATCCCCGTGGGGCAGGCTCTCCCTGCCTGTCCGTAGGCATGTGCAATGCACTCGCAGAGCCAGCCTGCCAGGCGTTTCTTGGACAGAGCTTTTCCAGTCACCCCGCCCCCGAAGCACACAAACAGCTGTTCGGTGCATCTAAGGGCAGCCGTGCGCTCCACATAACATACTAGTGCACGCGCCGGGCAGAGGAGGTGCAGTTTAGCTTCCCTGTCCCCACCATGGGGGGGAAGACTAAAACCCCCTAACTGAATAGCCCTCGACCTGAACGCACTCCTTAGGTTTTTGGGCACAAAGGAGGGGTTCGGTCTGAGTGTCGCGCCGCTCCGGTCACCCCGAATCAGTAAACAGCTCGGGTGCACCGACAGAGCGGTTAACTCGGACACCCTTTTGGCTGACGTTAAGACAAGGGAAGGTCGAGGGGCGGCCCCCTGCCAGGCGAATGGACGCTTCACCCGGAGGTGGTGAAGCAGATCTGGGCCCAGTTCGGGAGAGCGGAAGTGGATCTTTTCGCCAGCCGGCGCAACAGCCACTGTGCCCTGTGGTTCTCCATGGCCCTGAGCGACGACCCGCCTTTCAGGGGTGGACGCGTTTGCACACGGGCCATGGCCAAGGAAGCTGCTATACGCCTTTCCACCGCTGCGTCTCATTCTCCCTCTCCTGGGGAGAGTGAGGCGAGAACGTCTGGCAGTCCTTCTGGTAGCACCGGATCGCGTCGGGGCTCCATGATACTCAGAGATGACACAGATGAAGGTGGGCCAGCCCTGGGCAATTCCCCAGTTCTGGGGGGCGATGTCTCAAGAGGCAGGTGCAATCGGGGCGTTACCCACTCTGGGCCGTCCTCTCCAGGTTTGGCTCCTGAGAGGGACAGGCTGAGACAGGGTGGATTGTCTGATAGTGTTATTCAGTCTATCCAGGCAGCTAGAGCTGGATCCACCACAGCCTGTTACAGGCCAAAGTGGCTAGGATTCCAGCGATGGTGTGAGGAGCGGAAAATAGAGCCCCTATCTTGTGAGTTAGGCTCTATTTTGTCCTTTTTACAGTTATTGGTGGACAGAGGACTTGCTCATTCTACTGTAAAGTGTATGCAGCAGCCATCTCGTCCTGTCATGAGGGATTCAACGGCAGGCCAGCCTTTTCTCATCCACTGATGTTGCGGTTTTTACAGAGGGTCAGGAGGCTGCGCCCAGTAGTGCGCGCCTCCACCCCACAGTGGGACCTGCAGCTGGTGCTCGAGTCTCTGGTCACAGAACCATTTGAGCCTCTAGAGCTCTCCTCCCTGAAAGCACTGTCGTGGAAGACAGCGTTGCTACTTGTCTTAACGTCAGCCAAGAGAGTGTCCGAGTTAACCGCTCTGTCGGTGCACCCGAGCTGTTTACTGATTCGGGGTGAACGGAGCGGGGCGACACTCAGACCGAACCCCTGCTTTGTGCCCAAGAGCCTAAGGAGTGCGTTCAGGTCGAGGGCTATTCAGTTGGGGGGGATTTAGTCTTCCACACCATGGTGGGGCCAGGGAAGCAAAATTACACCTCCTCTGCCCGGTGCGCGCGTTAGCATGTTAGGTAGAGCGCACAGCTACCCTGAGGCGCACTGAACAGCTGTTTGTGTGCTTCTGGGGCGGGGTGACTGGAAAAGCTCTGTCCAAGAAACGCAAAGGCTGGCTTTGCGGAGGCATTACACACGCCTACGAGCAGGCAGGGAGAGCCTGTCTCACGGGGGTCCGTGCGCACTCCACACAAGCTGTGGCTGCGTCGACAGCTTTATTCAACGGTGTGAGTTTGGAGGACATATGCACGGCGGCGTCTTGGTCAACGCCAGGCCCCTTCATAAAGTGTTATCTCTTGCATATGTCTGGCTCTTTCTCAGCGTCTTTGCTTGCTGCGGCAACACAGGACTGGTGAGGAGGGGGAGGCTGTTGGTCAGTGGGCATCTGACCCTCTTCCCGGGCGTAAAATGCCCTTACGTTTCTCCGGACCCTTGGAGGGTCGCGGGGGTGACGTAATGCGCTTTGGGCCCTTACAGGGCTAAAGGGCTCTCCCCCTCCTGCCATACTATAGTCCGTACACACTCTGCACGGGGTCAGTGTCTGAGTGTGGAGACATAGTGGGCACTTGCGCTCTCCCCGTGCTCTTTAGGGACTCAGGAGAGAGGGTGCCTAGTGAACCCATACAGCTGCGGACTTTCCCTGTCTGCCTATAAGCGGACGCAGGGGAGCCCTCAGCACTGTTTTCGAGCACACTTTTTTGCGAGGCAAGCGTGTCAGGGTGTGCTCTATCGGCCGCAGCCTGGACTTCTCCACGGTTACAACCGAGGGAGAGGTGAGTGAGGCGCAGTGGCTGCTAAAGCCGGTCAGGGACAGTGAGGTGGAACGGTGTGCTGGACGACAGTGCGTGCATACATCGGGCAGCATGTGAGAGATATAATGCTGGGTTACGTATTGTAACCCTTGTTATATTAGCACAGGCGGAGCCCTCTACCTTGGGGCACTGTCTGTCCTATACCGCTCGCTGAAGAGTGGTGAAGGATGGTAGTCAGGAGGCGAGGCCTCCTGACCACCATCCGCATCCATCAGGAAGGCCCGCCCCGGGGCCAGCTACGTCCATAGAAATCTCAGTAGGTGAATGCTTGCATGATAAGGTAGTACCCATAGAGTCCAGTAGAGGGCTCCGCCTGTGTTAATATAACAAGGGTTACAATACGTAACCCGGCGTTTCATCACAGCAGCATTTAGCTGAGTTTCTGCTGGGAGAGTTCTCCTGATGAGATCTACTCTCTCTCTGAAGCTACTGACCCAGAGTCAGCTCTTTAGGAACAGCTGCAAGAGAGGGGGGGGGGGGGGGGGGGGGGGGGGGGGGGGGGCTACAAGGATCTGTTTGGGGTTACTTAGGAGCAGGACACTTCAGAGACATGTCCTTAGTAACAGCTGGAAGAGAGGGGGGGGACAAGGACCTGTTTGGGGTTACTTAGGAGCAGGACACTTCAGAGACATGTCCTTAGTAACAGCTGGAAGAGAGGGGGGGGGGCTACAAGGATCTGTTTGGGGTTTGGAGCAGGACACTTCAGAGACATGTCCTTAGTAACAGCTGGAAGAGAGGGGGGGGGGCTACAAGGATCTGTTTGGGGTTTGGAGCAGGACCCTTCAGAGACATGTCCTTAGTAACAGCTGGAAGAGAGGACATGTGTCATGCATTTATCTTTATGTCTGACCTTGTAATCATTGTATTAATATTAATATTTTTCCTGATAAGTAATAACTTGCGCCTGACGTAGTCTTGTATATCAAGCTGCATACATGTCACATAACTTGTTTCTTTAGAACAAACAAACAACAGAATTGATGTTTTATCATTATTATCTGGATTTCTCTCAGTTCACGGCAGGGGCGTCGCCTGGACCTGGAAACATTCGGGGCTTAGCCCACAGTGGCGGCGCTACAGTCGAATTTTCTACATTTCTACAATTTCACATACACAATTGCGCCATCTGGTGTCACAAACGTGTGCCTGCATTAGCTTTGTTACGGCAATGCATTGTGGGAGATTCTCATAGCACCTGAGGATCACTTGAGGGTAAGGTGCCTGTATTATCTCGGTGGACAAAATGTATGTTTTTATTTTATAAGGACAATAATG